GCGTCCTGTCAGCGGCACGTCAGAGCCCGTGTCACCTGCGGGAGAAACCGGCGTGAGCGCGGGGCACCCGGGGGTACAGGAGGGCCCCCACAGATCCAGCTCGGGTTCCCCCGCACACCTGCAAAGTTCTGGGACATTTGCAGGCCATACTCCGGGTGTGACCAGTAGGGTCCCCAGTGACAGGGTCAGCTGAGGCCCTGACTTTGTAGACCCTCACCAGGTGCCTTCTCTGCCCGCCACCCTACAGCACCCAGCACTGAGACCCAGGGTGTTCCAGGAGGGAGGAGGCAGGAGGAAGCCAGGAGGAGGCAGGAGGAGCACGGAAGCACTGCAGGGTCCTGCCTGCAAGCTCTGCCAGGACCGGCAGTGGGACTGGGTGAGACGTCCCTGTGCACCGTCACTTCTAGTCTCAGAAACGTCCCGGAGAAAGACCAGCTCGTGTACCAAGAAACCATTTCACCAGCCCGGCCAGCGCGGCTGCAACCCCAGCTGGACGGACAATCACCTTCTCCAGGTGTCCACATGAGAGAAAAACAGACGTTACTGCTTCCGTTGAAACGTGAGTCTGCCCAACCTGTGCTGGGGAAAGTCTAGTTTTCCTTTTCCTCCCAAGTTCCCACCAAACACTCAAGGCACACGTGAAGTAAGTCCAAAACTCTGCCCAAGGGGGCTGAAGCCCTTTCCCAGCAGAGGGCAAAGTGGGGACAGCGGGGACCCAGCAACCGCACCCCTGCGGCACCTACCGAATGGGGGCCTTGTCCTTCACCCACCATCCTTGCCCACCACTCTCTCCTTGCCTTCTCCCCTCCCTCCTCTCTGATCCAGGAGCCCCCTTCCTGCCCCCACCCCCCAACCCCGGGCCTGCAGCAAGGATGTGGGCACACCAGCTGCACTCCTTTCTGTATGAGGGTAAAAGGGACCAGCTGCTTCTCTCCTGAACTCACTTCTGTCAGGTGGGCTTTTCCCAGGGCCTTCAGGGAGGAAAACAGATGCTCTCTGTCCACACAGCACCCCAGCCCAGACCATGCCCAGTCTCCTCTGAGCTCGGGACTTATATTCATGGGCTGACTGCCCAGATTAAACACTTATCTCAGAGTAGTTAGTGATCAAACTGACAATCTAAGAGTAAATTCTAGTCAATGAGGTGAAACAGCCAAATCCTCAGACAGCTCTGGATCCTGACGTCCCAGCTGGAGAAGCAGAGACTGAGACGGGTCCTAAGAAATGTTCAGCCAGAACAAGAGGCTTGAGGGCACAGGCTTAGCAAGAGGAAGAGCAGCTGCTAGAGAAAGTCTGCAGAGGTTCAGGTCCAGGGCCAAGAGAGAGGCAGATGCCTGAGGAAAGAGCAGGAGTTAGGGGCCCGGGAAGGGCGAGGAGTGTTACATGTGCGTGGACTCAGGCGGAGTGGTGTGAGGCTGCTCCTTGGGGCCCTCAGCCAGCAGGACGGAGTCCACGGACTTGTTGCTGAGGCGCAAGGGACCCAGGCGGTGGAAGTTGTCGGGAGAGTGGGGGATCTGCATGCGGGCCCTCTGGGAGGGCACCACTGTCTCCCCGGGAGACAGCCAGGGTGGCACCCTGGACAGGATGCTCAGGTCCTCATCCGGGGAGAACACAGGGTTGTCAATTCCTAGGAGAAAGGGCAGTGGCTGATCAGCTTTCCAGGTGTACCCAGAATTGCAGGATTAGGGTGCTGCTCAGGGGTCAGACACCAGCGCGTCCTACAGCCATCACCTGGAAGGTCAGGGTCATGTGCCTTAGGGGTTTCAGGCCCTCTACCTCATGCTCTCCCGCCCCACACCATGGGCATGACAGGTGACAGCTTCCTTCTCTCAGAGCAGAGACCCCCAACCTGCCATGTGCAGTTGCACAGCCACAGTCCTGCGGTCCTGCTGTCCCTGCCCAATGACCGCCTTTACATCTGAGGCCGCAGAGGGCCACCCTATCCCCTCACCTGAGGGGGAGTCTGTTGCTGTGTCCCTGGTGACATTCGCCAGGAACTCAATCCCCCCACTCATCTCCTCAGCATCGTTGGGGTTCTCTTCTGGGTCTGAAAGTTCCAAATCTGGTGGCAAAGAAAGGGCAGAAAGGGAAATGGGCTGGGAACACGAAAGGCCCTGGTCCAATGCCCCTAAGTCCCCTGGCACTGCCACTCTGACAAGCAGGGCAGCAACCCACAGAGGAGGGTCCTGGGTGCTGGGCGGAGGATCTCCCTCCAAGGACAGCCCTCTGCACCCTGCCAGGCCCCTTGCACACGTCCCTGAGTCCCTGCTGAAGGCATTTCTGCCAAGGCCCCATCGGTACCTTTTTCCTTAATGGTGAAATTGTGTATGGGGTTCTCCATTGGCAGTTTCCCATTAGGAATACTGCTGTTTCTCTGAAAAACAGAATGAAACAGCTTACAGGTAAGGGAACAGTGGCCACGGGGCCCTGACTGCAGATTGTCCCTGGGAGACCCACTGGTCCCCAGCTCAGATCCCCTCCTTGCCCAGACCTGTCCCTTAAGGGGGTGCCTTGATGGTTCCAGCACTGACCAGCATGGTCCCATGGTGACCTCAACCCCACACGCCTCGCATAG